TGGAGAAACATCATGGAGCTAATGGAGACATCTACCATCATGGAGCTAATGGAGAAACCAGCAGGGAGCTAGTAAGGGAGAAACCATCATGGAGCTAGTGGAGAAACCATCAGGGAGCTAGTGGGAGAAACCATCAGGGAGCTAATGGAGAAACCATCTTAATGGAGCTAGTGGAGAAACCCAGCAGGGAGCTAGTGGAGAAACCATCATGGAGCTAGTGGAGAAACCAGCAGGGAGCTAGTGGAGAAACCAGCAGGGAGCTAGTGGAGAAACCATCATGGAGCTAATGGAGAAACCAGCAGGGAGCTAGTGGAGAAACCATCATGGAGCTAATGGAGAAACCAGCAGGGAGCTAGTGGAGAAACCAGCAGGAAGCTAGTGGAGAAACCATCAGGGAGCTAATGGAGAGACATCATGGAGCTAATGGAGAAACCATCCTGGAGCTAGTGGAGAAACCAGCAGGGAGCTAATGGAGAAACCATCCTGGAGCTAGTGGAGAAACCAGCAGGGAGCTAATGGAGAAACCAGCAGGGAGCTAGTGGAGAAACCAGCAGGGAGCTAGTGGAGAAACCAGCAGGGAGCTAGTGGAGAAACCAGCAGGGAGCTAGTGGAGAAACCAGCAGGGAGCTAATGGAGAAACCATCATGGAGCTAATGGAGAAACATCATGGAGCTAACAGAGACCAGCAGGGAGCTAATGGAGAAACCAGCAGGGAGCTAATGGAGAAACCAGCAGGGAGCTAGTGGAGAAACATCATGGAGCGAATGGAGAAACCATCATGGAGCTAATGGAGAAACATCATGGAGCTAACAGAAACCAGCAGGGAGCTAATGGAGAAACCAGCAGGGAGCTAATGGAGAAACCAGCAGGGAGCTAGTGGAGAAACCATCAGGGAGCTAGTGGAGAAACCATCAGGGAGCTAATGGAGAAACCATCATGGAGCTAATGGAGAAACATCATGGAGCTAACAGAGACCAGCAGGGAGCTAATGGAAAGACATCATAGAGCTAACAGAGAAACCAGCAGGGAGCTAGTGGAGAAACCATCATGGAGCTAATGGAGAAACATCATGGAGCTAACAGAGACCAGCAGGGAGCTAATGGAAAGACATCATGGAGCTAACAGAGAAACCAGCAGGGAGCTAGTGGAGAAACCAGCAGAGAGCTAGTGGAGAAACCATCCTGGAGCTAATGGAGAAACATCATGGAGCTAATGGAGAAACCAGCAGGGAGCTAATGGAGAAACATCATGGAGCTAATGGAGAGACCATCAGGGAGCTAATAGAGAGACCAGCATTGAGCTAACAGAGAGACCAGCAGGGAGCTAATGGAAAGACATCATGGAGCTAACAGAGAGACCAGCAGGGAGCTAATGGAGAGACATCATGGAGCTAACAGAGAAACCAGCAGGGAGCTAATGGAAAGACATCATGGAGCTAACAGAGAAACCAGCAGGGAGCTAATGGAGTGACGATCATTGAGCTAACAGAGAGACCAGCAGAGAGCTAATGGAGTGACGATCATTGAGCTAACAGAGAGACCAGCAAAGAGCTAATGGAGAGAACATCATGGAGCTAACAGAGAGACCAGCATTAAGCTAAAAGAGAGACCAGCAGAGAGCTAATGGAGAGACCATCATTGAGCTAACAGAGAGACCAGCAAGGAGCTAATGGAGAGACCAGCAAGGAGCTAATGGAGAGGACCAAACACATTCTCTTGAAACAAGAATTAGGGAAAAGATGCTGGAACTGAATATAATGCATGTTGGGAAAACATGTTAACAGTTTAACTAGAAAGTCCTCTCTCTTGAACCCACAGGTAAAAATAACTAGAGAGAGAGAGACCTAAAAACAACACAGAGAAGAGAATTATATAGAAAAAATGGTGGTAGGTTTGGGAGAGAGCAAAGAATAGGAGAGTTTGGGATGAGCTGTTTTAGGGCCCATAAGTAAAAGGTAGATGAAGAAAAGAAGAAGAAGAAGAAGAAGAAGAAGAAGAAGAAGAAGAAGAAATGCAGAAGTGGTATCAGTAGAAGGAGGAGGAGCAGCAGCAGTAGTAGTAGTAGCAGAAGAAGAAATAATAACAATGATTGTAGAAAAGAAAAAACTATAAATCAGAAAAAATTGCAGATCAAGCCAGAACAGAACCGGTCATGGCTGAATAACATACCTCTCTGTTCTGTGAGACCAATAAGGTTGAGGAGAGTGGCGATGTCTGGGTGATTCTCAAAGCAGTTTTGTATCAAGTCCAGAATTGCGTCCAAAACGCCTTCGAGCTTCCCTATTGCGACCTGTACAGCAACCATTTATGAAACCATTGTACACATAAAAATAGCAACATGAAATTATTGTACACATGAAATATAGCAAAATGAAAAACATGTATACATGAAATATGACATCAGTGTACACTTTTTTTGCCTCATCTAGAACAGTAGTTTTATGTAAAAAAATTCAATTTTTGCACAGCTGCTTAGGCTTTCTTTAGTCTTCTCTCTCTCTCTTCCCCCCTCTCTCTCTCTCTCTCTCTCTCTCTCCTCCAACTGCAAGGTCTACAGCAGGGGTTTTATAGCTCTCCAGTCCAACTGCCGTCTGATATTTCAATGAAGCTGATTTTGCATTTCAAATTTAAAGACACGAGGGTGTTAAAAAAAACTTGGGCAGCAGAACTGGTGAAAGATTGAGAATCTATCTGAGATGACAGAAATATCTGGCAGGCTGAGATGACAGAAATATCTGGCAGGTTGAGATGACAGAAATATCTGGCAGGTTGAGATGACAGAAATATCTGGCAGGTTGAGATGACAGAAATATCTGGCAGGTTGAGATGACAGAAATATCTGGCAGGTTGAGATGACATAAATATCTGGCAGGTTGAGATGACAAAAATATCTGGCAGGTTGAGATGACAAAAATATCTGGCAGGTTGATATGACAAAAATATCTGGCAGGTTGAGATGACAGAAATATCTGGCAGGTTGAGATGACAAAAATATCTGGCAGGCTGAGATAACAGAAATATCTGGCAGGTTGAGATGACAAAAATATCTGGCAGTTTGAGACGAGAGAAATATCTGGCAGGTTGAGATGACAGAAATATCTGACAGGTTGTAATGACAGAAATATCTGGCAAGCTGAGATGACAGAAATATCTGGCAGGTTGTAATGACAGAAATATCTGGCAGGCTGAGATGACAGAAATATCTGGCAGGCTGAGATGACAGAAATATCTGGCAGGCTGAGATGACAGAAATATCTGGCAAGCTGAGATGACAGAAATATCTGGCAGGCTGAGATGACAGAAATATCTGACAGGCTGAGATGACAGAAATATCTGGCAAGCTGAGATGACAGAAATATCTGACAGGGTGAGATGACAGAAATATCTGACAGGCTGAGATGAGAGAAATATCTGGCAGGCTGAGATGACAGAAATATCTGGCAGGCTGAGATGACAGATATATCTGGCAGGCTGAGATGACAGAAATATCTGACAGGGTGAGATGACAGAAATATCTGGCAGGCTGAGATGACTGAAATATCTGAGAGGGTGAGATGACAGAAATATCTGGCAGGGTGAGATGACAGAAATATCTGACAGGCTGAGATGACAGAAATATCTGGCAGGTTGTAATGACAGAAATATCTGACAGGCTGAGATGACAGAAATATCTGACAGGCTGAGATGACAGAAATATCTGGCAGGTTGTAATGACAGAAATATCTGGCAGGCTGAGATGACAGAAATATCTGACAGGCTGAGATGACAGAAATATCTGGCAGGTTGTAATGACAGAAATATCTGGCAGGCTGAGATGACAGAAATATCTGACAGGGTGAGGTGACAGAAATATCTGACAGGGTGAGATGACAGAAATATCTGGCAGGTTGAGATGACATAAATATCTGACAGGCTGAGATGACAGAAATATCTGGCAAGTTGAGATGACAGAAATATCTGACAGCCTGAGATGACAGAAATATCTGGCAAGTTGAGATGACAGAAATATCTGGCAGGTTGTAATGACAGAAATATCTGACAGGGTGAGATGACAGAAATATCTGGCAAGTTGAGATGAGAGAAATATCTGACAGGGTGAGATGATAGAAATATCTGGCAGGCTGAGATGACAGAAATATCTGACAGCCTGAGATGTCAGAAATATCTGACAGGGTGAGATGATAGAAATATCTGGCAGGCTGAGATGACAGAAATATCTGACAGGGTGAGATGACAGAAATATCTGACAGGCTGAGATGACAGAAATATCTGACAGGCTGAGATGACAGAAATATTTGGCAGGCTGAGATGACAGAAATATCTGGCAGGTTGAGATGACAGAAATATCTGGCAGGGTGAGATGACATAAATATCTGGCAGGCTGAGATGACAGAAATATCTGGCAGGTTGAGATGACAGAAATATCTGGCAGGTTGAGATGACAGAAATATCTGGCAAGCTGAGATGACAGAAATATCTGACAGGGTGAGATGACAGAAATATCTGGCAGGCTGAGATGACAGAGATATCTGGCAGGGTGAGATGACAGAAATATCTGGCAGGCTGAGATGACAGAAATATCTGGCAAGCTGAGATGACAGAAATATCTGACAGGTTGTAATGACAGAAATATCTGGCAGGTTGAGATGACAGAAATATCTGGCAGGCTGAGATGACAGAAATATCTAGCAGGCTGAGATGACAGAAAAATCTGGCAAGCTGAGATGACAGAAATATCTGGCAGGCTGAGATGACAGAAATATCTGGCAGGCTGAGATGACAGAAATATCTGGCAGGCTGAGATGACAGAAATATCTGACAGGGTGAGATGACAGAAATATCTGGCAAGTTGAGATGACAGAATCTGGCAGGCTGAGATGACAAAAATATCTGGCAGGTTGAGATGACAGAAATATCTGGCAGGCTGAGATGACAGAAATATCTGACAGGCTGAGATGACAGAAATATCTGGCAGGCTGAGATGACAGAAATATCTGGCAGGCTGAGATGAGAGAAAAGTTCAGACAAGATCTGCTGTATGATGATGGTGATCATTTTGGCTAAAACAATCTATATTGATCCCCAAAGGTAACTGTGCCCCCACCCCCCTTCCCAATAATGTACCCACTTTCCTTATCCTTCTTGTGAGAAGATGCTGAACATGGATTTATCTATACCACACAACAAAGGAGAATTATAATTTGTGTCATGTCAGTTGAATAAAATTCAATTCAGCTCATCTGGCACAATCTTTTATATAATGTCACCGCAAATGAATTGAGTTAAAAAAAAAAATTCAAATTATGGTGCCAAGCTGAAACAAAAGCTGGTTTTACCTGTAAAAATAATGGGAATTGTCATGTGTATTCTTTGTGTGATCATTTCTTCATCAATTTTTGGTTCAGGGACCAGAAACTCTTCCCCCAGTGCCCATCGGTTAACATTGTTCAGCACCCTACTGGCCTGCTGGAAGTATCTGCATGGAGTAAACATCAAGAAAACCAAAAGTTGGTCTAAATTCTTAAACTATCTGGCCAGGTTTACCAGAGATATTTTATAGTCTTACATGTAAATTTCAATGGTATGGACATGTAATAATAGGAATAAACTCACAGGGAGCAAGTACAGCAGGGATCTACCAGTCGTCAGTAGAAATTATCCTCGTCGACACGTGTTTCAGCCCCCCTTTCTAGACGCATAAGGTACCCTCCTTTCATGAAGCTCAGGGCTTCTTGTGAGAAGATACTGACCGGATGGATTTATCTTATCCCACACAACAAAGGAGAAGGTATAATTTGATAAGAAATCATCTGTCAGCCTGAATAAAATTCAGCGTGCCGGGACGGACCTGAGCAGCTCATCTGGACACAATCTTTTATTATAGATGATCACCTGGCAAATGAATTAGGTTACGAAAAAAATTCAAATTATGGTGCCACTGACACCCAAAAGCTGGTTTTACCTGTCCAAAGCCAGCTAGATCGGGCCTCTCCCCATGAGTGTTCGTTTGTCATGTGTATTCTTTGTGTGATCAAGTTCTCGCTCACTTCGACGGCAACTTTTCGTGTTCAGACCGGCTGGACGAGCTTGTAAAAAATTCTCTTCCCTCAGGGCCCAACTCAATCAGGATGAAGCTGGTGGATAAACATTGCCGGTCTTACGGCACCCTACCTTTCATGGCCGGCAGATCAACCGCCAGAAGTCGCAGATCTAGCAGATGGAGCGACCCTGCGTTTTGGTTGAACTTATCAACCTGCACAGCCTTGAGGAAAACAAAAGTTGGTCTAAATCTGTAAACTATCTGGCCAGGTTTACCAGAGATATTTTATAGTCGTACATGTAAATTTCAATGGTATGGACATGTAATAAGATCTAACAGCCTCTCAAAAACAACACTGCAGGGCTCATTAGTTGGAAAGAGGAAAAGAGGCAGACCAAAAAAGACCTGGTTACAGAACCTGACTGACTGGACAGGCCTCAGGCATGCAACCTTGGAGACCATAGCAACTGACCGCGAAAGGTGAAGGGAGCTGATCAGACAGTCAACAGAAACTGGTGACCCAATGACACATAGTGTTACGGGATGATGATGATGATGACATGTAATTAGCTGTTATATGACTGTTCTATCTATTACTATATTTAATTAGTGACATTCTACCAGATCTGAGTTTCACCCGAGTGAAATAATGATTCAAGAGGTTGAATATTCAGTGGAAGTGGCCACCTAAAGGAGAGGCATTATACAAACAGATATTAAATAGTCAGGGTTCCAAAGAAATGGCCAGTGACTCATCGTGTACTACTAAGGGCAGATCTACTTGCATTCTGTAGACATTACTACCCAATCATCCCTAACTGGGACTGCTCCTTCTGGTTCTCAAAGCATCGGCGACCGGGTGGCCCATTGGCTCACAGCTAGATGACTTTGTTGCCAGTCTGGACAGTATTTGGGTCTGTGTCCTGGAAACATATTCACATTGCAAGGGTTCCTTGCAGAGCCACTTAGGGGTGAGCAATGCTGAGTATATATGCGACACATAACCTAGTCACAATTATAACCTAATGCTCTCCCTTCAGGGATGCTGGTTGAATGTGACGATTTTTTCTTCGCAAAGCAAGTCAAGGCCTCCAGTGAATATATGCACACATATCTGTGGCAAACTGTTTCCTCTGTGCAATATCCTGAAAAGTTTTACTGATGAAATCTTCTACCGGCTTGTGTGACTCTGATTCTGGCACAGATACATAATCAAGGTGCTTTCAGTCCCCAATGAACACTTTATCAGTCAGAACAAATGTTTCTTCACAAAAAAGTACAAACAACAGATTTTAAACATAAGTACAAGAATCTGGTTCCCAATGAAAAATGCATAAAATTTGGTTTACCACTGACAAACTACAATCTGAGAGACTACAGTCTGAGAGACTGATGTGGTTTGCTTCAGGAATCATGACAGAATGATTTATTTCACTGTAACACAGTCAGCATAAATAAAATGGAATATTTTTAAATTACACAAAAATCAAAATAGTTATTTGCTCCTCTTGCTAGTCACATTTGTTATCCACATGTGATGTCATTCCTATTCCTCAGCAGCACAATGGAACACTATCACCTGGAAAGACAAAAAAGTGCCAAACACAGATGTATGATATCACGGGACATGGGAGTCTGCTGTAGCGCAGATAACAAAAGATAGGAAGACTCATATGAGTTGGTAGAGGGCCTGTGATCTAATGAAGGTTAAAAGGCAGAAAAAGAAGTAGTACAAAAAAATATGAGAACAAAATAAAAATCTGGAAATTTAGTGACAACTGGCAAATCTGATTAGAAAAAACCAAGAGGAAGAGAATGTGATAAACACTAGGATAGTTTGGTCAAATGACATATTCAGGACAAGAACCCTGACCTGATCCAAGACTGTGGTGTCCATGTGATGTGAGACAGTTGACTATACTCATTAAGGTTTATTGACATGGTACACAATAATGATTTCACCTGATATTTTTGTCAAGGATTCATTATTTCAACTGAGTATGCAGAATTTCATGAACAGGGACGGGGACAACTGTAAGAATAATCACTATTTCATGAACAGGGACTGGAAAAACTAAGAATAGTCAACTAATATTTCATGAACAGGGACTGGAAAAACTAAGAATAATCAACTAATAATTCATGAACAGGGACTGGATAAACTAAGAATAATCAACTAATATTTCATGAACAGGGACTGGATAAACTAAGAATAATCAACTAATATTTCATGAACAGGGACTGGAAAAACTAAGAATAATCAACTAATAATTCATGAACAGGGACTGGATAAACTAAGAATAATCAACTAATATTTCATGAACAGGGACTGGAAAAACGAAGAATACTATTTCATGAACAGGGAGTGGAAAAACTGTAAGAATAATCACTCTATTTTATGAACAGGGACTGGAAAAACTGTAATTTTTTTTTTTTTTTAAACGGGGACTGGAAAAAGTGCCAAGAATAATCAATGATTTCATGAACAGAGATTGTAAAAACAGGAAAATAATAAATCAATACTTCATGAAAAGGAACTGAAAAAAATTGTAAGAACAATCAACCAACGTTTCATGAACAGGGACCAGAACAGCTGTCAGAATAGAATATTCCCTCAACATTTCATGAACAAAGACTGGAACAACTGCAAGAAAAATCAATCAACATTTCATGAGCAGAGACCAGAAAAACCGTCAGAATACTTACTCTAAAGACTCCTGATACTTCCCCTGTCTGTGATGAATGATGGCCTTTCTAATGATAGCCCATCCGAGAAAATATGAGTTGCCAAATCTGGACAAATGTTCAATGGCAGATGACAAATACTGGATTGCTCGACCCCAGTCCTTGCCTGTTAGGATGACAGAATCAGGAAAAGAACACATATTTTGGATGTAAATATAGAACTTAGAGGTGCACTTTTGGATGAATGGATAGGTCACACTTAGAAAAGTGTGGGTACACATACATCCAAACCCACACATAAACACAGATCCACACAAGAAGCAAAGAATCCATGGATTAAGAGAAGCAACCTTGATGTGAGACTTCAGTGATCATATGAGATGGCACCAGAAAATGATATGAAACCGATCCTGTTGAGAGTGCAACAGATACTTATGTATTATGACAATGATGATTAAAAACAAACAGCTATTAAATCTAAAAGGTATAATTATGAGATCAGGTTACCAACTAAACTGAGTGTCTCATTTGCATTCTTTTGTTTAGTGTGTGCTTTCTGTCTAGTGTGTGTGATGTCTGTCTGAATTATAGTCTGTCTAATGTGTTTTATGTCTGTCAGAAATGTAAAGTCTGTCTAGTGTGTGTGTGGTGTCTGTCTAAATTGTAGTCTGTCTTATGTGTGTGATGTCTGTCTAAATTGTAGTCTGTCTAGTGTGTGTGATGTCTGTCTGAAATGAAAAGTCTGTCTAGTGTGTGTGATGTCTGTCTGAAATGTAAAGTCTGTCTAGTGTGTGTGTGTGTGATGTCTGTCTGAAATGTAAAGTCTGTCTAGTGTGTGTGGTGTCTGTCTGAAATGTAAAGTCTGTCTAGTGTGTGTGATGTCTGTCTGAAATGTAAAGTATGTCTAGTGTGTGTGGTGTCTGTCTGAAATGTAAAGTGTGCCTAGTGTGTGTGATGTCTGACTGAAATGTAAAGTATTTCTATTGTGTGTGATGTCTGACTGAAATGTAAAGTATTTCTATTGTGTGTGATGTCTGTCTGAAATGTAAAGTCTGTCTAGTGTGTGTGATGTCTGTCTGAAATGTAAAATCTGTCTAGTGTGTGTGATATATGTCTGAAATGTAAAGTCTGTCTTGTGTGTGTGATGTCTGTCTGAAATGTAAAGTCTGTCTAGCGTGTGTGTGATGTCTGGCTGAAATGTAAAGTCTGTCTAGTGTGTGATGTCTGTCTGAAATGTAAAGTATTTCTAATGTGTGTGATGTCTGTCTGAAATGTAAAGTCTGTCTAATATGTGTGATGTCTGTCTGAAATGTAAAGTATTTCTATTGTGTGTGATGTCTGTCTGAAATGTGAAGTCTGTCTAGTGTGTGTGGTGTCTGTCTGAAATTTAAAGTCTGCCCAGTGTGTGATGTCTGGCTGAAATGTAAAGTCTGTCTAGTGTGTGTGTGATGTCTGAAATGTAAATTCTGTCTAAGGAGTGTGATGTCTGTCTGAAATGTAAAGTCTGTCTAGTGTGTGTGATGTCTGTCTGAAATGTAAAGTCTGTCTAGTGTGTGTGTGTGTGATGTCTGAAATGTAAAGTCTGTCTAGTGTGTGTGTGTGTGTGTGTGTGTGTGATATGTCTGTCTGAAATGTAAAGTATGTCTAGTGTGTGTGATGTCTGTCTAAAATGTAAAGTCTGTCAAGCATGTGGCGATGTCTGGCTGAATTGTAGTCTGTCTAGTGTGTGTGATGTCTGTCTGAAATGTAAATTCTGTCTAAGGAGTGTGATGTCGCTCTGAAATGTAAAGTATGTATAGTGTGTGTCGTGTCTATCTGAAATGTAAAGTCTGCCTAGTGTGTGTGATGTCTGTCTGAAATGTAAAGTCTGTCTAGTGTGTGTGATGTCTGTCTGAAATGTAAAGTCTATCTAGTGTGTGTGGTGTCTGTCTGAAATGTAAAGTCTGTCTAGTGTGTGTGATGTCTGTCTGAAATGTAAAGTCTGTCTAGTGTGTGTGTGTGATGTCTGAAATGTAAATTATGTCTAAGGAGTGTGATGTCTGTCTGAAATGTAAAGTCTGTCTAGTGTGTGTGATGTCTGTCTGAAATGTAAAGTATGTCTAGTGTGTGTGGTGTCTGTCTGAAATGTAAAGTGTGCCTAGTGTGTGTGATGTCTGACTGAAATGTAAAGTATTTCTATTGTGTGTGATGTCTGACTGAAATGTAAAGTATTTCTATTGTGTGTGATGTCTGTCTGAAATGTAAAGTCTGTCTAGTGTGTGTGATGTCTGTCTGAAATGTAAAATCTGTCTAGTGTATGTGATATATGTCTGGAATGTAAAGTCTGTCTTGTGTGTGTGATGTCTATCTGAAATGTAAAGTCTGTCTAGCGTGTGTGTGATGTCTGGCTGAAATGTAAAGTCTGTCTAGTGTGTGATGTCTGTCTGAAATGTAAAGTATTTCTAATGTGTGTGATGTCTGTCTGAAATGTAAAGTCTGTCTAGTATGTGTACGTCTGTCTGAAATGTAAAGTATTTCTATTGTGTGTGATGTCTGTCTGAAATGTGAAGTCTGTCTAGTGTGTGTGTGATGTCTGTCTGAAATTTAAAGTCTGTCTGGTGTGTGTGGTGTCTGTCTGAAATGAAAAGTCTGTCTAGTGTGTGTGATGTCTGTCTGAAATTTAAAGTCTGTCTGGTGTCTGTGTTGTCTGTCTGAAATGTAAAGTCTGTCTAGTGTGTGTGATGTCTGTCTGAAATGTAAAATCTGTCTAGTGTGTGTGATGTCTGTCTGAAATGTAAAGTCTGTCTAGTGTGTGTGGTGTCTGTCTGAAATTTAAAGTCTGTCCAGTGTGTGTGATGTCTGACTGAAATGTAAAGTCTGTCTAGTGTGTGATGTCTGTCTGAAATGTAAAGTATTTCTGATGTGTGTGATGTCTGTCTGAAATGTAAAGTCTGTCTAGTGTGTGTGTGATGTCTGTCTGAAATTTAAAGTCTGTCTGGTGTGTGTGGTGTCTGTCTGAAATGTAAAGTCTGTCTAGTGTGTGTGATGTCTGTCTGAAATTTAAAGTCTGTCTGGTGTCTGTGGTGTCTGTCTGAAATGTAAAGTCTGTCTAGTGTGTGTGATGTCTGTCTGAAATGTAAAGTCTGTCTAGTGTGTGTGATGTCTGTCTGAAATGTAAAGTCTGTCTAGTGTGTGTGGTGCCTGTCTGAAATTTAAAGTCTGTCCAGTGTGTGTGATGTCTGTCTGAAATGTAAAGTCTGTCTAGTGTGTGTGTGTGTGTGTGAAATGTAAATTCTGTCTAAGGAGTGTGACGTCTGTCTGAAATGTAAAGTCTGTCTAGCATGTGTGATGTCTGGCTGAAATTTAAAGTCTGTCTATAGTGTGTGATGTCTGTCTGAATTGTAGTCTGTCTAGTGTGTGTGATGTCTGTTTGAAATGTAAATTCTGTCTAAGGAGTGTGATGTCTCTCTGAAATGTAAAGTATGTCTAGTGTGTGTCGTGTCTGTCTGAAATGTAAAGTATGTCTAGTGTGTGTGATGTCTGTCTGAAATGTAAAGTCTGTCTAGTGTGTGTGATGTCTGTCTGAAATGTAAAGTCTGTCTAGTGTGTGTGTGTGATGTCTGAAATGTAAATTTTGTCTAAGGAGTGTGGTGTCTGTCTGAAATGTAAAGTCTGTCTAGCGTGTGTGATGTCTGAAATGTAAAGTCTGTCTAGTGTGTGTGATGTCTGTCTGAAATGTAAAGTATGTCTAGTGTGTGTGGTGTCTGTCTGAAATGTAAAGTGTGCCTAGTGTGTGTGATGTCTGACTGAAATGTAAAGTATTTCTATTGTGTGTGATGTCTGTCTGAAATGTAAAGTCTGTCTAGTGTGTGTGATGTCTGTCTGAAATGTAAAATCTGTCTAGTGTGTGTGATATATGTCTGGAATGTAAAGTCTGTCTTGTGTGTGTGTGATGTCTGTCTGAAATGTAAAGTCTGTCTAGCGTGTGTGTGATGTCTGGCTGAAATGTAAAGTCTGTCTAGTGTGTGCTGTCTGTCTGAAATGTAAAGTATTTCTAATGTGTGTGATGTCTGTCTGAAATGTAAAGTCTGTCTAGTATGTGTGATGTCTGTCTGAAATGTAAAGTATTTCTATTGTGTGTGATGTCTGTCTGAAATGTGAAGTCTGTCTAGTGTGTGTGTGATGTCTGCCTGAAATTTAAAGTCTGTCTGGTGTGTGTGGTGTCTGTCTGAAATGAAAAGTCTGTCTAGTGTGTGATGTCTGTCTGAAATTTAAAGTCTGTCTGGTGTCTGTGTTGTCTGTCTGAAATGTAAAGTCTGTCTAGTGTGTGTGATGTCTGTCTGAAATGTAAAGTCTGTCTGGTGTGTGTGATGTCTGTCTGAAATGTAAAGTCTGTCTAGTGTGTGTGGTGTCTGTCTGAAATTTAAAGTCTGTCTGGTGTCTGTGGTGTCTGTCTGAAATGTAAAGTCTGTCTAGTGTGTGTGATGTCTGTCTGAAATGTAAAGTATTTCTAATGTGTGTGATGTCTGTCTGAAATGTAAAGTCTGTCTAGTGTGTGTGGTGCCTGTCTGAAATTTAAAGTCTGTCCAGTGTGTGTGTGATGTCTGTCTGAAATGTAAAGTCTGTCTAGTGTGTGTGTGTGTGTGTGTGTGTGTGTGATGTGTGAAATGTAAATTCTGTCTAAGGAGTGTGACGTCTGTCTGAAATGTAAAGTCTGTCTAGCATGTGTGATGTCTGGCTGAAATTTAAAGTCTGTCTATAGTGTGTGATGACTGTCTGAATTGTAGTCTGTCTAGTGTGTGTGATGTCTGTTTGAAATGTAAATTCTGTCTAAGGAGTGTGATGTCTCTCTGAAATGTAAAGTATGTCTAGTGTGTGTCGTGTCTGTCTGAAATGTAAAGTATGTCTAGTGTGTGTGATGTCTGTCTGAAATGTAAAGTCTGTCTAGTGTGTGTGATGTCTGTCTGAAATGTTAAGTCTATCTAGTGTCTGTAGTGTCTGTCTGAAATGTAAAGTCTATCTAGTGTGTGTGTGATGTCTGTCTGAAATGTAAAGTCTGTCTAGTGTGTGTGTGTGATGTCTGAAATGTAAATTTTGTCTAAGGAGTGTGATGTCTGTCTGAAATGTAAAGTCTGTCTAGTGTGTGTGTGATGTCTGTCTGAAATGTAAATTCTGTCTAAGGAGTGT